TATATTCAAACTCTCACATCTACATACGTAGGTACCATAACCATGTGCCCGCACATGCGGTGGCTGTCACATCCGATTATAATTTTTATTACATTTACCTACCTTTTTTGGCCTTTGTGGGTTCTTGTCACTAGCAACCGGGAAGGAAGGGGAAGTAGGGCGTGTTGGCTCAGATCATAGGTCGGGCACACTGTTAGCAAAGCATTAAGCGGAGTTATTTTTGCACTTTTTTTTTCGATTTGTGGTGTTGTGGCAGCGGTGTAAATGTTGTTGTATGTTTCCGAATTTCGAATATGCTGAATGTTAAATCCTTTTTGTGTTTGACTAGATTTACAATGTGCGATTACAAGTTTTTTCCCTCACTTTTTTTCCTCATTTTCCTTTTTTTTTTTTTTTTGTTTTTTTGCTTGCCAGCACTTTCGCATGATAAACGCATTATGTCATGCCCACAGACGAAGTTTAAGTTTGTAGTACACGTGTGCGCGTGACATTATCTCATCGGCTGCTATGCAACTATTCACTTCGTTTACTCAAGCAAAACGTAAAGGATAGCCCACACTTACACTTTTCATGTTGCACGTATCGGCTCCTGGGCGCAAGACAAACTCACACACTTTAAAGGCTCACCGAATTTTAGTTGGCGTATCCCTGTTCATGCATATCTTGACATTTGATGTGGGTCACTAAAATACTTACTTCACAAAAGTATAGTAAAAGGATTAATAAGGCTGAAATATATATTATCATAGTTTCACATTTAATTTCTAGGCTTTTTCTTTTACTTCTTATTATTTATGCCTTTCAAATGTTAGCCTGCACTCCTACTATGCTCTTGACACGTTTTGATTGGTGTATATCCTGGCTGCAAGCTGACAATCAACATTCGTGCCGCGATAACGTCGACACTTCAACGCCGTTAATGGATCATCGATCGTCCTGCCGACAAATTGGTAGGCTTGCAGCCTTTACTGCCTCCAATCCGGAGATTCGGATGCTTAACTCTTACACACATATGGCCAGACATAAATATAATCTGCACATAAATCACTTCTGCAGGTAGATCCACAAGTGTGAAATGTTGCCAATAACTGCGATAAATTATTAAGTGAAAAATTCGTAAACGTGTGAAGAGTTGACAGCCACTTTTCAAAGTTGTTATTTCAACATTTATGACACGGTACCAAACGGCCCTCTGTACACTGTTTAAGTGGTTTTTCATAGGCTTAACTTCTTTGCAAAGCACTATAAATAGAATTGTTAAATCGGGCAATATTTTGTGATAAAATGGAGGGGACGCGGAAGGACAATTTAGTGTAGATTATGAGAATGTAATAAGTCAATTTTATTTCACGAAGGGCTAAGCTTGTGAAATTGATTCGTAACCGAATCGTTCTCACTACAACAGTTTTAACTGCACTCCGAAAATAGTCTAAAGTCTCTAATACGAGCAGTTTTTTCGCCTAACTGTTGTTTGTATCACCTAAAAATAATCGAGATAGATATAGGGTTATATAGTATATATAAACATAAATAATCAGGTAACAAGACGAATTGAAATCTGAACGTCTGTTTTTCCATCCGTCTGTCCAATCGTTCAGCTATAACCTCCAAATTCGCTCAAGAATCCCTTAATCACACCTACTATCTTTATAAAGAGAATGTACTATAAATGCAATGAATAAACAATTAAATATACCAAAGACATGAATTCTATATATGAGATGATATAAGCGACTTTATGGGAGCCGATGTCAAAATTTGATTAGTTTTAAGTGAAATCACATATATTGCGAACCTTTCGACCGATTTCAACCGAATTCGGTATGTAGATATGTATAGTGACTACCTGACCACACAACTAAGGCTTAGGAGACCCATTATGATACCACCGGGACTAATATTCCCTCACTCTATAGTCTCCACACTGAACCATCCCATGTAGTTTTATATTTACAACCACTGATACGTCATCCCGAAACTCTCAAGCAATTATTTTTTTGTACAGAGCTTTTCATTCCATAATCGGCATACTGAGCGCACTATTCGCCACTTCTTGAGACCGAGTATTCATTATTGGATAATATTCATCCGAATAGACCACATCTATAACACAGTGAAGAAAATATAGTAGCCGTAGCTGAGAGTCTACATGAAGATCGTGAAGAGGCAATTCGGCACCGTTCGCAGCTACTCTAACTGACCTACGGAATGATCTAAAATTGCAAGAGTACAAAATATCGCTTGTACATTGCCTATGGGCTATTAAAAAGTTCCAAGAAGCTCCGACGTTTTCGAACCCAATTTTGTTCAGTGGTGGTTCAATGCATTTATAAACAAGCAAAATAATTACATTTAAGGCAAAGATCCTGACATCCTGAAAAAACGACGGTTTATTTTGATTATTCTTCCAAAATGATGCCGCACCATGACAACTGACTATTTAATGCCTGCTATTGAAGCTCGTGATCTCGGCGACGTTTCGTTTCAACAAAACGACGCCACTTCCCACGCATCCCATCAATCAATGGATTCATTGAGAGAACACTTCGATAGGCAGATAATTTCACATTTTGGGCCGGTCGATTGGCCACCAAAATCGTCTGATATCACAACGTTAGACCTTTTATTGTGTGGATATGTAAAGTCTAAAGTCTAGACGTCAATTCCGCTTCGATTCACGCTTTGGAGCAAAATGTTTCCAGTTACCAGTTGAAATGCTCTATCGAATCAGCGAAAATTGGACTCAATGGATAGACCATCTCAGACATAGACGCGACCAACATTTGGAAAAGATAATCTTCAAAACATAAATGCGAAGGAATGATCTTTCAAATGATGATAAACATTCTCTATTATTATAAATTTTAAGTTTCTGTGTATCTTCTTTAAAAAAGTAGCGCTCTACGAAATAACTGAGAATAATGTTCCGACAATGGGGATACTTTTGTATGTTCAGAACTCCGTTGCGCTTTGCGAACTTCGAAACAATTTTACAATATTGTTATATGTACATACATTCAATAGTAACTGCTGGGATATTTGGAATTGTAGTAAAGCTTTCACATAGCCATTGTTATTGCCATAGATCAGATACTTCAATTATTTTTAATTTATTTAAAAAAAAACAATAAAAGCTATGCGAGTTGATTATAAAAATCTCACTTCGCTTCTCTTCACAATTAAATCGTCGGCAAGAGACCGTAGGTCGTTTATAAACATATGCAAAACGCAATTAAAAAAACATACGACGACGTACCAAACTTACTTCGATATACTTACTTATAAATATATACAAATAAATTACTTCAATATAGAATGAAATTAACATAACGTTTTATAATGAAACTATTAATCACTTTACTAGAAAGCGTAACTTATTTAAGTGGTTTTGAGTAATATGGGTAGAACTTGAAAGCGACATTTTTAAATCAATGTTAATGCGTATTCTCAACAATTGTATCAGCTATTTTGCGGTATTTTTATTGAATTTTCAATTGTTCATAAAATTTTTTTTGGTGACTCATGCCCAGCTCTTGACCGATGCAACTGCTGCTACTATGGCGGTCTCTTTCGACCAATTCGGCGATTTTATCGCAATTTTCGACGACAGGCCTTCCGGAGCGTGACACATCTTCGATCACCTCTACACCAGAACGAAAACGTTGAAACCATCGTTGTGCGGTGGAAATGGAGACTGTATCGCGTCCATAAACTGCACAAGTTTTATTGGCGGATTGAGATACATTTTTGCCTTTATCATAATAGTACTGTAAAATATGCCGTATTTTCTCTTTATTTTGTTCCATGTTTGCGACGCTATAACTCACGAACGACTTAAAAGAAACGACAATCAATCAAACACGTGTTAGCGCGTGAAATTAGCTTTCCAAAAAGGTATAGCATGACCTGATGCGACGACTAAAACTAGAACTACACGCTCTCAGCGCCAACTAGTGAAAATATATATATATATAATATATGAGCTCTTCACACATTAAGCAAAATCGAAATTTTTCTGGGAACCAGTGTTTTTGATTACTTGGAACTGCATCACACTAAATTTATGTTATTATAAATATAGTGATAAGGAAATTGTATACAAATATGTATTGTATATATGGTATATGCGTGTAAAGCGTTAAAATTATATATAGAAGACTAAATTGACAAACGCTTCTTTTTGACTATAAAACGGCTTCTAACAAATTTTAGTAAACATTTGGAAATCTATTGGCAAAGTTGAGATATAATTTTTCTCTCCAAAAATAAGAAAATAAACCAAATTCTATAAAAATGAAATTCATATACTTCTTGTTTATCTTGTACATTAGCATAGCAGCGATAAATGCTCAAAGGATAAATTGTAGATACCCCCATTACTATATAATATATAGATTTTATTGATTGCAAACAAAACAAAACTGCAATCGAAATCATCGCGGACAGTGCATTGGATATTAAAATGGAAAGGATAGTAATCCGAATGAAACAATATGAATCATAATACATCTACGATTACGCCTCAATATGGAACGTTATAGCATTTGTGTAATAAAATTATAAAAAGGAAAAAATAAATAAAATTTGATTTTTAAACTCAAGTGAATTTACGTATTAAAAATTTGTTTGTCTCTCGACACCCTTCACAATTCAAGAAATGTGGTTCAGGAATCGCAATTGCATCCATCGAACATTGGCGTAAATGGGTGGAAGTTTGTGTGGACATTTAGGCGACATTTTGTATAAATCAGAAATTATCTACAATCAAACAACAGAACCTATTTAGCCCAAATGTGAGTGTTTCACTTTACTTTAACATAACATTGTTCTTGCTGATAGACACTTTACACGAAATCCGATATGAATATATAGTTGTCACAAAAAAAATAGATGTGTTTGAAAAATAAAATAATAATAATATATAGTTAATGAGATTACACCAACGTAAACAAAAATCATCACAAAGTTCGTGTGTACTGCAATTATCACTGCAATGTAGGACCCCAATTGAAGCAAATTTAGTTCAATCTTAAAAGCCTCAGTGCACAGTTGAAGTTTATTTTTCTTCGCTCATTTGAAAACAAAAGAAAAACAGACATGAAGCTTATATACTTATTAATATCATGTATTTGTCTCGTAACGGCAGCAGAAAGAATGATGCTAAATAACATTACAATTGCTTCTAATGCTGCTTTTATATCTAGACGAAGTATCAGTTGTCAAAGAGTTAATCATCGTGGCCAATGTATTGGTGGAAGCTCTAAATAAAACGAATCTAAAAAATTTATAAGAAAATTAAAACTTCATATGATGACGTCATTATAATCGATAATCAGTTGATCTCAAATAAACAATACGTTCTAACCTTAACCTTTAATTAATTTACATGATATTTTATTGGCAAACACTGGAACTGAATATGGTACTGGACGAAAAATTAGCGGCATTTCAAAAAGAGGTAAATAAAATTTTAAAAATAATTTGTGAGAGAAATAACATTTCGTTTATAGAAAGAAGATACATACTTATAAAATTACTGTATAGTAATGCTAAAATATATATGTAAATAAAAGAGAAATTCAAAAGAAGATTACAAAAGAATAATTCCATGATGATTAGCAATTTAACTGCATACGACACTGAAATTCTTATAAGAAGAAGATTAAGCTAGTCAAAGAAGATTAAGCTAGTCAAAGTTATTTTCTAGAAACGAAAAATTGAAATCGACATCAGCTTCCGGTCAACAGCTTTTTAAGCACTTTCTCAACAATTTCATTATCAGCTCCTCAAAGACGAATTCAATTCATTTCTATCTGTTAAAAATCAGGACGGAAAATGGTATCCACATGTGTCATGTAGCGCTTGGATGGTGAGTTTAGTTTACTTTTTTTTTTAGGTAATAATAACTTTGTTGAGAACATTAATTAGGATAAAATATGTTACATTTTGTAACATTCTAGTACTGGGGTGAAAAGAGAGCACTGTGGGGAAAAAGAGAAAAACCTGACAGTTATGAAGTGCTGATAACGGACAATGACTTCATCAGCGGATTAGCAATGTTTCTAAACATAAATTTGAAGATAGTATGGCAGTTTATTCGTAAGAACAAGGAAAATATTTTCAAGGCAATTATACAGTATTGGGGACTATATTTCAGTGTTAGTAAGCGTAAATTCTAAAAACATGATAGGAAAATTTCCACTGGAGAATTTTAAATATTGAAAGTCTACTTCAAAATGTCTCTTGTAAGAATAAATTCTAAATGGATATCATTTTGTAAATTATTTATATGTACATATATGAAGTTTTCGTACATTTTCTTGAATTGAATTGACTAGATATTTTCATTTATTTCACAAGAGTAAATAATAAAATTACATGCAATGCGTGTTGATTATAAAAATCTCACTTTGCTTACCACCACAATTAAATCGTCGGCAAGAGGGCATATGTCATATAAACAGTATCGGGCAAAACATTTGCTACTGTTTTAATTTTATTTTTAATATTGGGTGTTGACTAATTTAGAAAAGGGAATTTATTAAAATGTTTCAGTTTTTTGGTTTAATGTATATAAAAAAAAAACGATATAACATCTATGTTTATGCAATAAGACAAAACAATTGAACCTCAAAGAAAACGGTACATTACTCTCAATAAGTGCTTTTCATCACAGCGACATTGAAGCTATTAGGTTATCCACTATGATTTGGGGTATATTTCTAAAGGTTTCCAGGGTTCTTTGAAAAAACTGCTCAGTACAGTATTTTCCACCTTTTACGATCAATTTTTTTACAATGTCCCATAAATTTTCTATGAAATTAAGGTCTGAGGACTGTGGAGGACACTCCATTACATCCACTTTATTTCACTGGAACGATTATTATAGTACCTTTGCCGGATGCTTCTGGTCATTGTCCTATTACTTAAGTGGCATTTCCCATTCAGCATGTGGCAACATTACAGATTTCATAATGTCTGTGTTAACTTACCGATCCATGGTATCATTGATACGATGAAGCGGCCCCAAACCATATTTTTAGACAATATGAATTTTTCAGACGCTACTTTCGTGGACGTCGAACGTAACATACTCCATTCAAATTAAAGTTTGACGCATCACTAAAAAGAACAGTTTTTCACTTGCTTGTCAGCCAAACAGCCACGAACAAAGGAGCCAAGTATGAGATTGCGCTCACACCATTACGACTAAATAATCTGGGAAATTAGGTTCGATCCCGAAACCATTTTGACGAAACAATAATTAATAAGTTAGTGGAATCTCATGCCAAATGCTGACACGAACCAAGGTCTCTAAATTAAAAATATTAATATACGTCCTCACTTAATCCAGTTTTCATTCCTTAAAAACAAATTACAAAGCTTTCGAGCTTAGCTATGCAGTAGTAAGCATTCGAACTTTTATCAGCACGATTGCTATAAATATTTTCTGAACCTCACAACAACAACGTTAAATTAAATGGCATCATTATATTTACTGATTTTATGTATATCGTTTGTAACCACGGATGGGAATTTTCAAACAAATTACCGCATGCATACGGATAATTTGGCCCTAGCAAGTAGCCCTCGGTTGGGATGCCAACATTTCGAGCATTGCGGCTAGTGTGTCGATGAAGAAGCTGGACAAAAGTTATTTCGAAGAAATATGTACCAACAACTAAGGGTAACTGTATGGAATTAAAAAATCACACGGCGAACGAACTAAGCTTACTTCGATATAATCTTATCTTAAGTATAAATATAATCAAATAGAAAATATATATAAAAATAAAACTTCTGGCGTTAAAATTAAATTAATTATGTAAATATAGAAAGAAATGAACATCCCTTTACTAATGGAACAATTTATGACTCGCAACGTCAACTCATCAGATGTTGTCATCGTCTAGGCCTAGAAGACTTATCCATTCTGGAGAAAGCAGAACTAAGGGCGCGGTTGTTAAGAAAAATGATATCAATATCATCAGCATACGCCAGCAGTTGTACACTCTTATAGAAGATTGTACCTTCTCTGTTTAGTTCTGCAGCTCGAATTATTTTCTATAGAAGCAGGATGAAGAAGTCACACGAAAGACAGTCGCCTTGTTTGAAACCTCGTTTGGTATCGAACGGCTCAACGTCAGTTTACACAGCCGTATTAGTTTTGCGGGGATACCAAATTCGGACATCGCGGCATCCTTTTCTTGCTGTCAAAAGCAGCTTTGAAATCAACAAAGAGTTGGTGTGTGTCTATTCTCCATTCACGGGTCTTTTCCAAAATCTGGTGCATGGTGAATATCGTATCGGTTGTTGATTTGCCAGGTGCTAAAGCCACACTGATAAGGTCCAATCAGTTTGTTGACGGTGGGCTTTAGTCTTTTACACAATACCGACCATATTTTACAAAGAAGCTGAATCTAGTACTACAGATAACCATATTTCGGTACCCGGCGAAGTTGACAAGCCTCAACCCATTTGGTGATAGAAAGCATCTTTGATCACATTGTTCTTTTCTTCCGTCGGGGTGTGGGCGCAAATCAGCGATATGTTGAAGAACTTCGTTTTGATGCGGATTGTAGCTAGACGTTCATCCACCGGTGTGAATTATCTCTGCGACGGAGTTTCTCTCCCACCATGAATCCCACATCAAATTTGCACTCTGTTATATGGCCACTGTAGTAAATGCCACAGGGACCTACTCGTCTCAGTACTTTTCCCGGCCATCACATTTCGTGGACGGCGGTGATGTCAGCCTTCACTCTAGCGAGGACATCAACCAGCTCTACAGCTGCACCTTCCCAATTAAGGACCGGACAATCCCGGTGCGTGCCTTTAAATGGTAGTCCTTTATATCGTTCGCCATAGACGTTATCCGAGGCTGTCGATTAGTTTTGGCCTTCTCACTTTAGTTTGCCTTCAAACGAATGATCTTAGGCTAACCAAAGGATACTGGTTCGAAGACCGGAAGTCGTGAGCTTCCAAGGGAATGGCGATTAGAGCACTTTCCTGACTTATGTAAACTTCTAGACATGACTCCATCCTCCCGTCCATCCTCCCTTCCAACCTATTGCTGTAGAGTATCATGTTTTGGGCCGATGGCTTTGACTTTTTCCTGTAGAGACATTTAAAATCTAAAGTCTATGCGGACAAGCCTGCTTCTTTAAAAAAGTGGCGAACTTGGAAATAACTAAGATGAATATTCCGACAGGGTACTTTTATATGTTCGGCGCTCCGTAGCTCATTACAAAGATCGATACACTTCCCTAATACTGATGTACATTCAATCATAACTGCTGAGGTATTTGGAACTATAGTAAACTTAGATTAGCTATAGATCATATCTTTTCTCTAAATAATAAATAATAAAGTTCTATACAATGCGAATTGGTTATTAAAATCTCACTTCGCTTATCGCCACAAATAAATCGTCGGCAAGGGGGCATAGGCCTTATGTAAACATTTACAAAAAAAATCCAAATCAAAAATGATATCGACATACCTACATACGTACCTACGATTTTATATGTATATTTAAATAGTTATAAGCTTTACTGATAATGAATGTAATCATAACAAAATTTAACCACCCGATTTAATACTTCCGTTTCAAAATTATTGTAGTTGCCACACTAAAGGTTTGGAAAATTAATTACTTCGAAATAATATTTTAACTAAAATAATTATGTCAGTGTGATAATATTGACTTAGTATCCAATAAGGTCAAAAATTAGTTGAAGATTGAAGTAAGATATACAAGTTATACCAAAATCAGGGTATCGGTTTTCGTGGCCACAAGGGGTAGAAAGCAAAGACTCGACATCAAATAATTTTCAAAGGGCTTTGAAGGTGGTTTTAATCTGTCAAAAAGTTAATATTGAAGCCAAGTATGAGATGACGGTCACACCATTACAACTTAATAATCTGAGAAACTAGGTTCGATCCCGAAATCACTTCGAACACAAAACAATAATTCACTTAGCTAGTGAAATTTCAAAAAAACCAAGGGCTTCAATCAAACAAGATCTGAATATTTACAAATATTAATATATTCACTCAATCTCGTTTTCATTAGTTAAAAACATTACAAAGCTTATGAAATTAGCTATGCAGATATTTACAACAACAATTGCTTCATCTCTTCGGAGCCGGATTTAAACTTAATAGTTATATGTAATATATGAGTTTATTACACTAGAAGGCAAAACAACTTTTTTCTGAGTATAGGAGCACACTAAATTTTGTCAATTACACTTTACAACACTGGGCTGGAACCACATTAATTTTTTACAGAAATCAAGTCATCCACAAATAATTAAATTCTCCGTTTTTCGAAGTTAGCCACTAAAATCGAATTGTCTTCGAATTTCGAAATTGAAATTGGTTAAAATATAATTACTGAGAATGCTCCTAAAAACTAAAAGAATGTATAGCAACCACGTATTCCTCCTATTCGATCAAGCTTATAAAACAGCTGCTACATGATTTTAAAGTCGAATCAGTATTTTTATTTACTATTGGTTTTTCGAATATTCAACTGTCTTCCCAAATATTTCCAAAAATCCATAAATTGGTTTTTTACTTATGAGTCGAACTGTCAAAAACTTCTTTCGGTGCAATACACCGCCGACTAATGTACAGAGTTATTATAAATATAGTGATAAGGAAATTGTATACACTTATGTATTGTATAATGGTATATGCGTATTGCGTAATTGCATATAAAATACCACATTTACAAACGTTTCTTTTTGACTATAAAATGTAGAACGGCTAAACAATTTTAGTAAACATTTGGAAATCTATTGGCAAAGTTGAAGCGTAATTTTTCTCTCAAAAACTACCAAAATCAAAAAAAAAATTCTTTAAAAATGAAATTCATGCACTTATTGATTATCGTGTACACAAGCATTAAACATTACTATGGATAGAATAGTAGTCGAATAAACAAACAAAACGAATTATAATATATGTACATATGATTATGTCGCAATAAGGAAATCAATTGTGTAATAAAATTATAAACATTTACAAAAATTTTGTTTATCTCTCGAAAAACCAAAAGCAAAAAAAATATTACAAAAAAAATAAACGTTAACTACTGTAGAACACCCCTCCAAAAATCGAATGCCAGGATTTTATTTTTATCGTTCAGTTTGTATAGCAGAAATAGGCTATAGGGATTCGATCGGAATTATTTTGGATAATCTACTAATGCTTTAATAATAATTCATTTCGTTAAAAAAGTTTTCCAAACAAGAACTTGATTTCGATCGTTGAAGTTAAATGGCAGTTATAGACTATAGTGGTGCGATATCGGTGGATCCGACAAATGAGCAGCTTCTTGGGATTAAAAGGACGTGTGCAAAAAATCGAAAGTCAAGTACCTAGAGATAGGCTAACATGATTAAATCAGCTCAGCTCGCCATCCTAATCACTTATACATAATATCATATTATATATATATTTTGTATGGAATCCGATATCTTTTTCAGAGTGTTTAAAACTTCGAGGCAAGCTTAGTATACCCTGTTCAGAGAAAAATTAAATTTGTGTTCTTTTTGATGGTACTAATTATATACGCGTCTGCCAATTGAGGTGATTTTCACAGCTTGTGGCGGCCATATTTGTTTACGGATTTCTATCAAATATTGTCAGAGCGTTCAGTAAGGCTTTCCATTTCGTCATGTCACGTTTCATTTTGGTACAAAATTTTTTTCTTTTAAAAATGATCTTCTCAGATGAAGCCCATTTCTTACATAATGGCTTCGTCAACAAACAAAAATGTCTCTTTGAGGTGAGTCATATCCACGTGTGGGTCAAGAAACGCAATTGCATCCCCAATATGACTATGTAGTTGTCACAAAAAAAAGCTGTGTTTCAAAAATAACATAATAGTAATATATAGTTAATGAGATTACACCAACGTAATCAAAAATCGTCACAGAGTTCGTGTGTACTAGTGTTATCACTGCAATATAGAACCCCAAGTGAGGCTAATTTAGTTCAGTCTTAAAAGCCTCAGTGCACAGTTAAAGTTTATTTTTCTCCGCTCATTTGAAAAGAAAGCAACGGACATGAAGCTTATATACCTATTAATCTTATGTGTTTGTCTCGTAATGGCAGCAGCAAGAATGTCACTAAATGACACTACCAAGAGAAATTATGCTGTTTTTATTTCCAGACCAAAATGTAAAAATTATGATCATCGTGGAAAATGTATTGATTTAAGCTCGAAATAAAACGTATACACAAAAACTGTGTAGGAAGATTAAAATTAACACACATCATTATAATCAATAATCACTTCGTTGGAATTTAGAACTACGAATAAAAATGATATAATATATGCACATAAATATTAAATTACAATAGTTATTAGACGTTTTGAAATGAGGAAAGAATAAATGTATACCTTAATAAAATTTAGTTATTCTATAGTGTTCACATGAGTTATGAGCGTTCTGCAACGTCATGTCACAACACCTCATCACAAAACAGTTGACAACACACACCACTAMACACACACACATCAAACACAGTACCAAACACCGCTCATCATTACTAATAATTGGAAATATTCACCACCCAAACTATTAAAAGGGATAGATCCGAACGGGATCTTCCTCTTATCGTTTTCATCCCGGAAGCAAGACGTTCGACCGCTAATATTCATTTTCACTTGTTCTACCGCAACAACCACGACACTTACTTTTTTTATAAACCGCCAAGTGACGGAGTGGATTTCGCCGCAGTGCCTCGCAGTGTGTGGAAACCAATACTGAAAATAAAATTGTTTTATAGTAATCAGATAAAATTATACAGTTGTTCTAATAAGCTTAATAATTATTTTATAAAGAGTGTGTGTTAGAGAGATCAGTGCTTTTTACTTGGCTTATCGAGATCGTGTAAGTATACTAGTGGCACGGTTGAAATATAGTTATATTATTTAAATCTTTATTCAAACAATACGTTTTAAACTTATTCTTTAATTATAAAATAACATCGCCGTCTAAACGATGTTTTTATGGCCAAAACAGCAGGCTTTCTACATGGTACTGGACGAAAAATCATCGATATTTCAAGGTGAGATAAATAAAATTTTAAATATAATTTGTGATAAAAATAATTTTTCGTTTAGAGAAAGGATATCTCTACTTATGCAATTCCTGAAAAAGGGATGCTAAAACATGTATGTAATTATATGAATATTATGGCTAAACCTCGTTTAATGGCCATGCATGACAAAAATTCTCATCTAACTCAGAAACACTTGAGAAACACACACTATTATATAAAAATACTATGCTGTAGTGTATAAGTTAAATCAATTAAATATAGAATGAAATGAAAATACATTTACTAATGGAAATATCGGGTGATTTTTTAAGAGCTTGATAACTTTTTTAAAAA